ATCAAAAATAAATTATAGTTGAAAATTTTTTCCCAAAAAACACGAACACAATTCTGAAGTACAGAAACTGATTTTTTTATTACACCAAAAAGTGACTTCAATCGTGATAGGGACTCAGATTTTATCCCAAAATAGTGACGAAAATGCGAGTGATGAAGAAACTTAGGTTCATCGAGACAACTGAGTGTTGTTGCTTAGTGCATAGTTCAAAGAAACAAAGAATTGTTAATGACATATCACGCACACTGACGACCATTAATACCAATGTTGAAGTTATAGATAACAGTGATATGATAGAATGTGAATCGAATAATAAAACTCGAATGATGCTACTACACAACAGAAATAGAGAATTTATCTTCAGAAGGTCTACCAAAAAAGGTAGAAAATAAATATATCCAAATCACACTGTTGCTCAAACTAAACAACGGAGATATTTAAATTTACCATATTATTCAAGAAAAAATATATTCCGCCAAAAAATTTCAAAATTTTTACCTTAATATCAAACAATGTAACCAGTTAATTAAAAGAGAAAAAAGAGAAGAAGAATTCCAAAAATTTGGGCTCTTATGAAGCCCAAATTATTATATATAGTAAAAAATGTAGAAGAAAGACCCAAAACAAGATCTTATACAGTCACAAGAAAATAAAACAATAAGAAAAAACCCAGAGAATACTCAAGAAAATACACTATATGTGGGTTAAGTTTGTAAACCCATGTTTTTGAAAAATTTTTTCAAAAAACAACTAAAAAGATTGATTTTTTCCTTTTTACGAAAAAATCGATATGAGTACATGATTAAAGACAGAAAGGACTTTCACAAGGTGATTGGACTAAAACTCAGATGGTAGATATTGATTCGTTAAGGATATCATAAGCTCATTACCTAAATATCAATCGCATTATAGAAAGAACAAAGTAATGGTGTTATGTATTTCAAATTAGAATAAACGATACAAAAAATATATGATTTTATACTTGGAAAAATTTGGGAATGTAAAACGGCAGTTCGAAGAGTCCATTGTCATTGGCTACGGTAAAACGCATATTTTATAAATTTTTTAAATTTTTACGCTGCAAGACACTAAAAAGGACACTTGCACAAGGTGTGATACTTTCACTAATAAAATAATTGTTTGTTAGATAAAGAGAAGAAAAAGTTACACATGAAAAAGACATTCAACTAAAAAAAAACAGAAGATTTGAAAAATATATGAACGAAGATATAGCACAGGCAAAACTGACGAAGAAATTTTAATGCTTAACATTCCCACTTAGATAAAACACTTCCTTCCCCGTATACCAACCAGCATTATTTTTTATAAAAGGCAATTGTGGTTGTATAACTGTGGCATCCACGCCGGCTCTAACAATACTGGTCATTGATACCTATGGATCGAAGGAGAAGCTGGTCGAGGGGCCCAAGAAGTCGGGTCATGTTTTGAAACAATTTCATAAAGTACAAACTTGACCCAAAAGTAAAACACTTAGTGTTATGGAGTGATTGCTGTGGCGGACAAAACCCAATATAAAAATCGTAATGATGTTGAAGGTAATGTTAAACTCGCACCATAAATCTGAGGACAATAGATTTTAAAATACCTTGAATCAGGTCATACTTTTTCCTGCCCAATGATACTGATTTTTCCAAAAATTTAAAGCCAATTAAAATTTCATCAACGAATTACACTGGGTGAGAAATATATGCAAATCATTAGGAGTTCCAAAAGAAAGACTTCCGCTCGAAGTTTAAAAAATGGTTAAAGAGGACTTCCTGAGCTCAAAAAATATTGAAAAAAATAAGTAAACAAAAAACTTTTTGCAAACAAGCAGAAAACTAAATTTGGGTACAACAAAAGTGATTTCATTAAAGAAAGAAGAGAAAAATATTATTTTTATGAAAGTGAATAAATAATGACCTTAATATACCTTAAATAGTGAACTTAATATACAGAAGAAAGTGAAAGGCAAATCTTTTGAATTTTCTGAAACTACTTTATCATGTTGTGGCCTACAGGCAAAAAAATCCTCAACCTAACTGGATGATCTGAAGTCAATGTTCCACTTAATTCCGAAAGACTGTTTAGACTTTTACAAGTCTCTTCAGGGGATAAAAAAATAGAGGATGATCTTGAAGGATTCAGCGGTCAGCTTGATTTTCAGATTGAAAAAGAAAGTCAGGCAGAATGAGCATTATAATGCTATGCAAGTTTTGTTTTGATTACAGTTTAATTATGTTTCAACAGTATTGATTTCATTTTTTATCCCATTGTTTTTTTTTAACTTGATAGGTATGTTATAAGAATAATACAGTTTTAGGTGTATTTATTAGTTATTTTATTTATTTTTAAAGATTTCGTTAGCAGTTGATTGCAGTGGAGCTTTACTGCGAAACTATCATTTTATCTGGTCTTATTGAGAATCTATATATCAAAAGGGTCCAAGCCCCTATTTTCTTGAATATTATTGAAAATATGAAATCAAACTTAGTGAATTTGATTTATAGTTAAAATATAACAAGATTTTCCCACTAATTTTAATAAAACCCACAAATTTATGGTACCGCATCATAGAAGAAATTACGACCTAAACTTTAAAGTTAAATATCTCAAAAAATAGCGTCATGTGTATTGGAATCCCTATCGTGTAACTACGTCCATTACAGAAGGGGAGCAACTAAATTTTCTATAAAGTTTAAATGACCACTTTTCGACATTATTTTGCTGGGGTAACGCACACCACAGACACACCCAAACTTTCGTATTTACAATATTAGTGAGATTAGTCCTAAAGTGAATTTAGTTATAAATAAAATAAAAGCTTTCTGCCGTAAAACAAATTTCCTATAAGTACCCTTGCAAGGGTTTCTCTGTAAACTATATTTTTATGTACTATTCGTTTGAAGCAAAATAAATTGATTTTTTCGGAGATCCCACGCGAGACAGGCTAACGCATAGTTGTCCATTGGAGAGCACTCCCTTTTTTCAAGTCAATGCCGACCAATGAAAATATTTGTACCTGGGACTTATTATAATTAATGCAAATGATATTTTAACCGGGAACTGAAGCCTCTTAATAATATGGGCAAATCCGTCGGTATCATTGGAATACTTTTGACTGCACGGATGGCGCAATACTACTGCACCGGTGTTGTTGGGTTTAAAAACCCCACATGGACGACACTTTGTGTGATCCACAAATTGTTGTTCTAAGTCTGTATGTTCTTTGTGTCCGTTTCATGTATGTTTGTAAAGTCCCCCGCGACACAGGATATATTCCCAGTGCGGGAGTTGTCTTTTTTTTAAAAAAATAAATAATTAAAACTGTTGTTGATATTATTTTATAGGTTTTTGGGGTTTATAAATTCCTCAATATCATTGTTGGATTAAAACTTTTAACTTCAGGAATTAAATTTGGGTGTAATCTAAAGATACTTTTCAGTTGTGTGATCTAGGAAAAACTCATGGTAACTTCGAAATTAAAAGTTTATAATTAAACGATATTTGCTTAACGATTGAACAATTTTAATGATGTACAGACAAAAAAATATCTACTTTAAATTTTCTCGTGATGAAATACTTATTATAAAAAATTTTATTTAAAGGGTTCATATTATCACCACGAAAAAATGAATCTAAAATATGTAGTGGATATTGAACTGGTAAGTTAAGTTATGTCTGAGTTTTTTTAGAAATAAATAATACCTATGTTACTTCCTGATAATGTAGCTTTCTATTAGTGAAATTTTATGAAAATAGTTAAAATCATCCAGTAGTTTTGGAGTCTATTCAGCTTTTAGCTCATATTAAAGGTTAATTGCGTCCCTGAGTCTCATTGCCTGTACATGAGGGGGAATAATGACTGGTAAATATATACCGACCCTGCAAAACCGACTGCGTTCCTAAAGATGTCTTATAAGTAATAACCCTAAAGAGTTGGAATTAGTTTCCCATATTTCGGCACTGTTGCAAGGGGCCACGATCACGGATGACCTGATTTTTGTTAATAATTTATCAAGTAAAAATGACCATGGTAGTTTAAATAAATACATAAACATCTTATATGTTCCTACAGTCAAAGGTAGACAGTATATAAGGAAATGAGCCTGAAGCCTCTGGGCATAAATATGGACTAACTAAATTCCTTAGACCATCACAAATTGTATCTGGAGATTTTTTTTACGCAAACTTTATTGCAGAAGCTCCCCTGTAAATATTAATACTCAATCCGTCACAACGTTACACAGATTCAAAATAGCAATAAAAGCTTAAAAATACCTTCTCGTCTTTTCTTCTCGTTCTGCGACAACGCTATTACTTGTAAGCTATAGAGAGTTTATATTTAAAAACAGAACACAGAGGAGGAGGTTTTCGATTCTGTTATCCCCCAGGACCTCGAGGGCCACTGGGGTCGTCAAACGTATCTCCAAAAATACCGTTCGTTGATGGATACAAGTATGAGATCAAGGAGAAGGTAAGAAAACGGTGCAGGGTTTAAAGGAGATGTACGATAGTGACAAAATCAAATGAAATGCTACGATGATTAAGGCATGGGTTTAAAGGATGAGAGAAGAGTGAATGACTAACATTGATTGAAGAGTATATGAGTGGTGCTCGTAGTAAAAAAAAATCAACATATACTTGGTATTTTATTTATAGGCAGAACTGAGCAGAACAAAGTACATAAGTTGATATTTAGGTGGTAAAAATGGATTAAATTTGAATAAATTGTGTAAGAACTAGCTTTAGATCAAAGAAAGGACAAAACTGATTTCTGCATATCTCGTCTTGGCAAGCTCTTTAAAAAAAATATTTGCAATTTCCGTTTATAAACACCTAAAGTTTAAATTTTGTACGGTATAAAGTATTTTACGGCCTATTTTTTTTTTCACTGGTCACAGTATACCGTAGCCTTGGCAGATGCTTGGGCCAGCAAGTCTCCTTTGCGATTTACTATTAAATGGTTCTGATTTTTGTAATGACCATCTGGTGCAACGTCATGGTCGCACACAATAGAAGAAACCCCCATAGACTTGTGAACATGGAGGCACCATCTAAAAGTATAATAATCACATTTAGAATAAAACCATTTGTTTTCATCAGCATCATCATTTATAGTCTATTGCTGACATAGGCCTCTCCTTACAGGGGGTGTTGGCCTGTTGATATAGGGTTTGTGTCAAGTTTTCCTTCTCTTTACAGTGCTGTTGTCCCGCGCAGTTTGCTCCCTTGTCGGCTTAAACGACACCCACGGGATGAATAGGGTGACACTCCTTATTTTTAATCCGTCCTATCCGTCATATCCGTCGTCCGTCAATACCCAGTGCTGTATTGTTAAGTATAAGACTTCTATCATTGCACCAACGTACCTCTGACATACCACACGCGTTCCTGAACTCACAAGTGTCGAGACTCCATTTTTTCTGGTTCCAGGGAAAATGCTCATGACAAAATTATAGCCAGTACTTCGGCTTATAAACATTAGTTCTCGAGCTAAACCGAACGTTTGTTTTGCTATATTTACACGAAATACTTCTTAGATTTTTTACGGCATAGAAGGCAAACGAGCAAACGTTTCACCAGATGGTAAGTCACTACTGCTGCTACTACTGCTGGAAGTCCAAAAGACATAAAGCGTTGCCACCTTTTGAGTGGCCTTTGAGTCCACCAGAGCTCGTTGAAAAGCAAAGAACTCTCTCAGTACTTACCGGTATTTCTACTTCCCACATGCGGATCGCAGCCGATAAATATACCGTTTGCTCCTCAATCGCCTGTCCTTCCTTAGTTCCTGTCAATTAATAAATAATTTAAAATTAACTTTATGACAACTTAAGTTATAATAAATCAGAGTCACCAACAACTAGACAAACATGACATTACATTGTAATCTTTGCGTATACATTGCCAGAAACAAAAAAGGACTGTAGTTTTATTAAAAAACCAGCTGTTCCGTGCTAAGCTTCGCTGTCCCACATTGCAGTTGCATTAATGAGAAATGGGAAACAAAAGCGACGCGAAAAATAGATAAAAATAATATTGAAGCGGGTTGTATATCGTGTCAAAACTTGAGATCAATCGTTGTTGAAGTTTTTATAGCGTATACAACCCAATAAAAATATAGATAGTGTTCAATTATACTGTTAAGGCTAAACCTGACAAATTTTATGCTAGTGACTACATATTGAGATAGCAGGTGGTGAAAAGCAACAACAGGAATCAGAAAGAAAGAAATAAAAAGAATTTTGAGGTCGGCGCTTAAAAAATGTGGTGGACACAAATATTATTTGTATTCATATTTAATTCTTTTAACAGATGTTCTCTTTCCCATTGAAATCTGAGAAATTCCGTCAATAGGTGTAATTATTATACCCAATGTCAGAGAGAAACTAAGTAAAAAGCGAGTTAGTGGCTGCGGATTGTCTACAATAATTAGTCGGTGGTACTTTTAAAAGTTAATGTTATTAGTTCCAAAGACGTCATTGCGACGACATCATCAGGAATTGTAAACGTATCTTCATTCCTTAATCTTCTAACCCTTAGGATTGGTTTTTTCTTCAAATGTGAATGAGACCAAACGGAAGGATATCCTCCAAATTTTTTTCATATCTATCTGCATCATGACAATCTGTTTTACAAACAATAATTCGCTTGTCCGATCCAGTTCTGTCACGTGTTTTTTTTACCCTTCATATTTGTCTTTGGATGTTTTAACTTAATAACTCTTACTTCAAATCGGTTTACAAATTGGTGACGAGTTTATATAAAAAAAATTAAATAAAATTTTAATTTTGTGTGGTAGGTAAATAATCGTTAATTTTAAACTCACCCCATGAAATCTCCTTACAATAATATTGGGCTACAGAAGCAGTAACTGCCGTAGCGAGTACCACGATCAATAGTCCTGAATGCATGGTGATGTGGTTACGAGAACTGGTACAGACGGCATCACATGACTAGTATATAAACCTCACTTTAATCACCGTATCGTACCGCTGTATTATACGAAACAATCTTAGTTAGATACGTAATTGGGTTGTAGTGTTTCGATCCGTTACTATCAAATGTGAACATGTGTGGTTGTATGTTAAATAGTATTTAACAGTCCTTAATGAGTGGAGGATCGGGGGTTATGTCCCTACAACACGAAGGAACAATCTTTCGGCAGGCGCGGTGATCATGCAGGGGTGGGGAGCGCGGCCCATTTGTATATACCTATAGGTACTGATCAGCGCGAGAACTGTAGTTTCGAGATGTAGAATTAATCAAGACTGGCCTGTTGGTTTAATGGTTAGTGACCCTGACTGCTGAGCCAGAGGTCGTTGGTTTTGATTCTCAGCAAATACAAATTAAATTAATCCGTCACCATACAATTTATCTGTCGGATAATTAATATAAAAAAACCCTTAAAACCAACTAAACGTTGAAAATAAACACATCTAAGTTTAATATTTTATAAATCATTTTGGTTGCTAATACAAATTTGTTCATATGGCACAATTAAAACCGTAAACCTCTATGGTTTACAGTTTTATTTGTACATTTTCTCAAGAAAAGCAAGATTGAATCTTAACCTCCATATAACAATCATAATCTAACTTATTACTATGTCGTCCAGCGCATCCCCTAATTGGCAATTATAAAGTAAAAGATTTTATATTCAAATATATATTTATTTTTATTAACACTAAGTGTGACCTCCGTTGTTCATAATACAACTAAGAAGACGCCACTAAGCACCATACGTTGTCAATAAAGTCCTATAAGGGTTTAGATCAGGGGATCGCACTGGATCTCCTTCTGCGAGCAAGTTATGCTCGCCAAGGAGACGTCGGAGCGGGACCGGGAGAGGTTTTAGAACTTTCCCGGCCCGCCAGGCCCGGGAACGGGCCAGGTACCGCAGGCGACTTAGGCGCCGGAGGTCGCAGAACGACCTCCGTCCTCCATAAGCGCAGGCCTGGGGTGACAGGTTAAAAAAAATATTCAAATAAAATAAGATTTAAATTTAGACATTTTTAAGATAATAAAATATTATCATACACCACACTTATCATCACACAATCAAACAAAATAAATCACACTTAAGCGGGTTTTGTTGGATATTTCAGATATTAAGCCCGAATAAAGCTTTATGCTTGTTATTTGAAGACCTACAGATATTCAACATAAACATCAGTAGCATTAATAACACAAATGCTCGTAACTAAGTTCATTAACCCACGTCAGGAGTTGAGGGTGGTTTTGAAACAATAAAATAGTTTATTATTTCAATCTACCCTCAACTGTTAGTGACTACTAGTTTCAAATATTGAATGGCAGATTTATCTGATTTATATTATTCGACGATCGTTACAATACTGCACTCATAACCACATACATACAATGAATTCCCAAAAATTTACTGTGAGGTTGCATGAGTTTTGAAACGGCGCCATTTGAATCAGCGTCCACCGCAGCGCCCGACGAACAGTTATTAATTTATTAACTTTGGAAACTGGTTACCATAATAATACCATGTAACGTGTATATGTGTGTGTGAATATACGTTAATAGAAAAGTTCATAAACTCGACTAGTTATAATGCTATAACTTCGTAAAAGTGCGACTGGACTTATGACTGCGACCGTACATTAATAAACCTGAAATGTTTTAGGGTTTATGTCTGCATCTGTAGCAGAGAGATAAGGTATTTTATAACTATCTAAGACTAGCTGACGCGATAGACTTCGCTATCGATAGTTAGATAGAAAATAAATAAATAAAACTTATTTCAGGGTGACCACTTTTCTTCGAATTTTTATTTTAGTAGGTATACATTTAATGTACATTAAGCCTAGTCAACTTGAAGGCACAATTAAAAAGCCAAACGCGCCTTTTATTTGTTTGACGTCAAATGTTTTAACGGCTGTTTTAATTTACTCTATGGTTTGTATGGGAAAAAAGTGTTGTTTTTACTATTACCCTCGATTTTTTACGTTTTTTATCTCCATAAAAAACGAAAACGAGAAGACGACGAAACGATACAACGAAAAGATAAGAAAGAATTAGTCGGGCCAATCTTATAAGAATAGATTACAAATTATACTGATACAATCTATTTTTTTTAAATATTAAGTACTTTTATAGTTCACTACCGATCCGCCCCGGCTTCGCACGGGTGCAATGTAGATACTACTAATACTACTAATGTGGTGTCTGTGTGGAGTAATTAATTATACTTTAATTATGATAAGACTATATACTTTCGACGACTATATACTTTCGACGCGGCGATTCGGCGACGGCCGCTTTGCCCCCGCATTTTAAACCTCTAATATCTTCTAAAAAAATTCATTTTAATGATATGCTGTGAAAAGCAATTTTAATTTACATAAATGCACAAAGTATCTAAATTATTTATTTAGATAAGGAATAATAATGTATTGTTTAAAATGGCTTTTAAATAACCCATTACTTTTTGATAAAAATGGTTACTGTAGGTTATCTTTAGGAGATAGACATATATATATACCATCGCGGACTCTTTGTAGATCTTTTTTAATATATGAAACTCCATAATACATTACTTTTGGTCTATCTTGTAGAGTTTAGCCACCGTTTACAATGTAAGCATGTTTTAAACCAACTCAACAAATTTTTGAAATTCTCGGATTTCCTCTATTATATCTATCTATTGATGAAAACCGCATTAAAGTTCTTTGCTTAGTTTAAAAGATCAACAAAAATAAAAAACGACTTTATTAAAATTGTATACTTTCTATAAGAGCTACTGTTTGGCAGTTCTGACAGATTGAAGAACTGGCAGGGAGTCAAAGAAATTGATTACTGCAATATGCAATTCTTAAGAGATATCGATATAATTTCTTTGTATTCATAAATCGATTACAGTTTTACATATTTATGTACGTATATGTTACTGTAAAAGCCTGTTTATTATTATATCTTAGGTTTTACTAGTAATCTATATAAGTAATCTAGACAAATGAAAATCGGTAAAAACAAATGATCATCTATAAAAACATTTGAATGCACCTAAGTAAAGACAAATTAAAAACACAAGGTCTAGTTTTAGTTCCCATGTACTGGGAATAATAAAAAGGTAAGAAATACGCATTTTTTTCGGTATTTATAAATGATCATGAAAATAAAAAAAAATTGATATTAGAAGAGCTACTTGATAAGCTTTTGAACACAAAAATCTTTTTCAACTGAGAACACATACCAAACTGCGTAACGTATTTAGTAAATACTTTTTACGTACGTTTACGAGATATACGAGTAGGTCGCAGTCGCTTTCATTCTATTTTTTTAAACTAGTTTTGGATGTATAAGCGTCTTTATTAGATTTTAAAATAAATTGGTCAAATCAAATCCCTCTTCCTCACGAAATCATTCCCAACAATACAAGAAAGCGAGAGTTGCACATCGATGTATATCTTAACATAGTATAAAAAAATTATAGAGAAAATTAGATAGAAAACAAAGGGGTGCTTTTACTATTGAAAAACAGGCACCCAACGCTTTTTTTCAAATTTATTTCTATTTTTAGTTTGGTTTTGGTACAGAAAGCGTGTTTTTTAGTTTTTTAAAACTATATATATATTTTTTTAATTAGTGTATGGTCATCGGTCCTCGATATATCTACAAAGTTTGAACGAATTCTGACCGTTTAAAGTCAGTCAAAATCACGCCCAAAGGAGTCGGTTACAAACATACAAACAAACATACAAGTGAAGCTAATATAAAGCGTGTAATAGTCGCTTTTTATGTTTTACGCTAAGATCTTTGAAGCTAAGCAAAAGAATTTTAATGCGGTTTTCACCATTAGAGACAGTGATTCACTAGGAAGGTTTATGTAAATAACACATGCTTATTATCGATAGAAAAATCCGAGAATTTCAAAGATCGTTACAAAAAACATGTTTTTTTTTTGCGCTTACATTGCAAACGCTAAACCTTACGAGATAGACCTATCTAATGTTAGTACATTAGATAGGTCTATCTCGTAAGGTTTAGAATTGTATATTTTAAAAAGTCTTTTGTGTTCTGTTCTTTATCTTTTAAACATTACAAAAAAGTAATGTTTTATGGCACGGAACGAGAGCGCGTGGAACAGTGCCACCTGCCACTGCAAGCAATTTGACAACTAGATGGCGCAGTGGTTTGCGTAACGGACTGTCATTTGTGTGCATGAACATTTATTGTTTGATTTGGTGTGGGTGTTTCTATGTATAATAGTATGTATTTACAAAAAAGTATATATGTATTTATATCAGCTGTCTCGCAGCCATAGAACAAGCTCTGCTTTTTTGTGAATGTAAAAAAATATGCTTGCGAAGGAGGGGGCCGAGTGGGGCCGAAACTTTAGAACCCTCCCGGTCGGGAAGCTCGGCAACAAGGCTCAGGTACGACAGGCGACTCAGCGCCGGAAATCGGTGAACGACCTCCGTCCTCCATAAGCGCAGGCGCAGGGTTTCAGGGTCACACAAATGAGGGGTATCTGTAAGCCGTAAATGGCTATGGGGGGGTTCGTTGAGGCAACATAGACTTCCTTTCCGGGTTACACCCGATTCCCCACCTACTGGTCCCCAGATGGAGTGCGGTTTTAGTTGGTCGAGTCCGACATAGCCCCCCACCAAGGATTTCCCAAGGGATTTCCCCACGAAAAAAGGGAAAAGAAATACTTATTTTTTAATCGTCAAAAATCTTCATT